GGGGGGGGGGGCGGATGTGGGTCAGTCCGGGGGAAAAATGGGGGGCACTCGCGTTGGGAAAGTTTGTCGCCTAGAGTCGCGGGGGTAGGGAAGAGGGTTCACCGCCGGACGACCGAATGGGCCAGCAGGTGCCCTCCTCAAACGCAGGGTACTCTATTCTAGAGCCCCGCCTCCTCTCGCATGTGCGGGTGGAGTTTGACTATGTCCGGGGTGAAGCCGCGTCACGTCGTGTGCGGCGTGACGCGGTGGTCCTGCTCCCGTAAAATACCTGGCGTCTGCGAGGGCCGGAGGCTACCCCATGCCTCCGCTCCCTGCTTGGCGTTGGGGTTGGGAGCAGGGAGGCTGCCGGTGGCCTGCACACCCCGGGAGCTGCCTAAAAACTGGCTGCCTGTCCAAAGCGTCCCACCCTGGAAGGAGCCACGTCGGGGCAATGAGGTAGGGCTTACTAGAGGCTTCGCTACAAGCGACCTCGGTTTTGCCCAGCTAAGTCTACGGCGCCCCGCAGCGGTGGGTCAGGGCAATGAAGTAGGGCGTGCTGGGGTCTCCCATATGGGTGGCCTTGGCCTCGTCTAGCCAAGCCTACGACACTGCTGTGGGTCGGGCGAACGAAAGTCCTTCCGGGACGGGTGGCTGGAACTCGGTAGCTTCGGACACAGCGGAGTCTGCGAAGTCCCCTGTCGGATGCCGCACGGCCCCAGCCCAAGCATCACGACGGGGGATGGAGACCACGAGGTGGTGTCTCGGCCACGGAGACAGCCACAACACCCGCAATTGGGGATAAGGGGGGAAGGGGTGTTACCGCCTGGGCGGTCTTCTGGGGTAGAGCGCACAGGGCGAAGGCACACGGGCCGGAGGCCGGAGGGAGGCCGATGGCTCAGGGTGGATGTGTGTTGGTGAGTGAATGAGTGTGTGTGTGTGTGTATGTGCTTCTGTGTGATAGCCTATTGTCACTCTGCGCCTGGGGCATGCCCTGAGCTCAGGGGGGGGGCGTAGGGACTACCCGCTGGGTGAGCGTGCTCTCTCAGAGGGGGGGGGGGAATGAGACACAGGAGCCTCATCCTCTATTAGGGGTCCTTTCTGGATGCGAGTTGAGTTGTCGGGTTCGCTGGGTTGCGGCGCCGGGCGAGTACGCCCCCCGGTGAGTGCTGCGGTCGCTGCCTTGATCGGTGTCCCAGTGGGAAACCCCAACGCGAGGGATCGGCCGCGTCGCTGTCCCATAAGTTCGGGATGTAGTCCCAGCTGGGGGAGCGGCAAAGCTGGTATTAAAGAGGGGAGGGCTGGTTGCGTGCGGGTGCGGTCTCGATCGTGCTTTCAAACAACTTCTCCCGCAACACCCGTGGGAAAAGGCACTGGAGTTACACTTCTCAGTGATTCATTCGGAGAGCGGGATTTCCGGGTGCATGGTGGCTAGTGATAGTCGGCAACGGAGGGCGCGCCGATGATCCGTTATGGCATCGCCGGAGGTCCACGCCCCCTGAACCGTTAGGCTAAGGCCTCTGTGCACTTAGGCCCCGTTGCGATGAAGGGCACCAAGAGGTGTTACCTGAGCTATCGAAGAAGCGTACCGCTGGGGGTGCCGGTGCCCGGAACCACGGATGGGAGAAGAGCGCAAAAGGCGCGCACATCTTTGGGAGCGGAGCTCTTGCCCCCGGCCCTCATTAGAGCCATGCTAGAGGGACGAGAGGCCTGGTCAGCTGTTACCTCCTGCGAAGAAGTTATGTCGCGGAAGGAGGAGCAGGAGTGGACCAGACGGGGGGAAGTGATTGTGGGAGGGCGGCGAGTTCGCCGCGCCCCCGTCCTCGGCCGGCACACCAACGGGGTGTGTCGGCACCGGGAAGGAGGGCGCAAGCCGGCGTGGCGGGAAGGGTTGCACACCCCCCTGGAACTGCGCCCGTCGGGCCGCCTCCTCAGAGAAGGAGGCGACGCGAAAAGAGACGCCAGAGGAGGGAGGCCGCCGCCGCTAGGGCACTTGAAGCCCGCAGGCGGCGGCTTTAGTCCCTTCGTCCGCGACAGACGCCGCCAAGACTCGGCGACGGCGCCTGGAGCGGCTGGCGGGAAAGAGGGGGGGGGGAGTAGAGCGGCGGCGGTGCGCGCCCTTCCTTC